ATTGCAGTCAATGAAATTGTTCGAGAAAATTGTTTGGGGAGGTTCATTGTTACAGTAAACTGTTACGTTTGTTTCAGAGCGTAAATCCCTTGCTATCAAATTTGTTTTGAGTACCATTGAAAATCTGGCATGGTAACTTTGTTTGCTGTACTTCACAGTTGTTTTCATACACATGCATCGATTGGGAAAAAATGCGAGTGCAATACAAAGTGGTTTTTTGTAGGTGATACAGTCGATTGGTATATAATCGGTTTTGTATGAACGCTCATCCTCATCATAATACGCATTCTGTTAATTAGGTGCACATGCTTAAAGTTACCTAATCCTAATATAACGACAGCATGTGGAAATTTACATAACACGTATACGTGTTTATAGACGAACTGAAGGTACAGGGTGGTTCAAATTCGTTGCTCACCATTGGGATCTTAGTAACGGTAGGAGATATAGTGGAGGGTAAATGGGGCAAAGTTGTCCTCTTTTATACCGAATCGGATGTCGCAGTGGCTGCGTTATCGACTGCTAATCGGGAGGTTGTGGGTTCGAATCCCTCTGTCGATTGCTCTCTCTGGGGTTTTGTCAGAAGGCTTTCCTCAGACGTACGTAGCTTCGCACAATTCTAGCATTGTTTTGCTACTTTTTTGTTGTATCCGAAAGCTCTTGTCATTTAGAAGACGAGGACAAATTAATATTTCAGCCACGTTAAGCCATTATTAGCAGGTTTTTGTTTCCTGTGGTAATTTAAAACGAGCATTTATTTATTTATTCTTAATCACTCTCTTGTTCTTGTTCAGGCTTGCGCGCAGATATAGAGTGACACGCATAATGCTTTTTGGAGGTGCCCGTGCAGAAGTGAGTTGTTTTATACTACTCTGGTATTAGGAAAACTGTAGGGTAACCTAATTCGGGCAGAATGCTCGAAACTGATCTAAGGAAATTCTCATCACTGTCACAGACAAAAAATTCTTACCTCAGCCCAGGTTCGAAACCCCGACCTCCGGCTATGTATTCCAACGCTCTACCAAGACGGCAAATGCATTAAAACTGCCGGGCCATGCAGGTTTACGCCGATATCATTTATGATTAGCGACCTTTATGCCGACCCAAGGTATTCCAATTAACAATAAGCCTTACTGGACCACCGACTTTAAAAATTTCAATCCGGCCAATTAAGTAAGTACTTACAATTAACAGCAGTTTAATAAATGTGTCTCAAAAGAAGTGCTCTTAATTAATTTGTATTTTAAGACCAAAAACCGTCGATCCCTCCATGAAATAGTCGAATTTTTGTTACTTTCATTCTCGCAAACCGGTGCTACCGCCGACTTTGACCATGGGGAAGGCCGGACACCTTGGTGGAGTCCAAGTTCTGCCGTTGTAACCGCTGCCGTAGGGTTTGTGCGCGTGCCAATGCTAAGCACGGATACTACACGCGAGAGAGAAGGGAAAAGCTGTCTCTTATGGTCACGCATCTGTTTGGTTCTTTCAACAGAAGCAATCATGGTCGCATTCAAATTAAATTGAAAAAATGAATCAGATGCGTAACCGTAAGGGACAGCTTGCCCTCTTAGTTCTCCTTTCTCTCTCACCTGCAGTATTCGCGCTTCTCATTGACACGCGCAGTCCATTTATTATATGTCGATGTTTGAGTGGCGTGTTTGACGTTAACCAACTGCGACGCGTGTTTTGTTTTTGAACCAACACTTCTCAAATAAACGATCCGATGGAATGAAATGTGCAGTAAGTTGATGAATGGATGCCGACCGATCATAAATAACCACCTTATTTACGCCAATTTTCTTAGTTTTTCTTTCCGCAAGAACCTTCTACACAGTATCTGACTTAACATAAAAGATGAACGGCTCTGTTAAGTCGTTCTAAAGTTATCGCGTGACCAAGGGAAATAGAGGTTCATTTTTCTATATTTATATATTATTATTAGCGCACTAAAAGACCAAACGAGTTTAATGTTCCACGCGAAATAGATTTTTTTATTGTAACTTTAAACTCTGATTTATACCCCCGAAAAGTTCGCTTGTACCTTTATAATTTTTTTGACAATTCTGAAGTTTATGACATGGAATTTCTGCTGGTAAAAAACTGTTGTTTCTACGACACTACGGCGTATCTCTCGTAATATTTATTTTACATTGCGTAACACTTCCGTGTTAATATTTTCGCGATCTTTTTTGAATTCGATTAACTACGAGTTTGTGACTTTTCGTTTTGAGCTCCATGACGAATAATAGGAATTTTTCTCTGACTACCGCGGCTCAAAACAAATTCATTAAATGTCCGCTCACTTCGAAACCAATTAGTACCCCTTCTACACATTCCAAGCAGCATAGCTTTTGGGTTAATAACCGGATATATTCAACTGTATCGTACCTTTATAATTCCTGAACATGAGTTTATTCATGCCAAGTTGGCGCTACCCCACCCTACCACGCAAATAAAACAAAGTTGACATGTACCCACGATGTTAGTGATAGTTTATAACTAAATGCGAGAGTCAGAAAGCGTACCACAAGTCGTTTCATTCCGCACTATACCAATTCGTGAATGCAAAACACACTTTCATTCTCTTTCGTTATATCGTTGCTATAATAACCATAAATTAAATTGTTTTCTTCCTTAGTCGGAATTCGAAAGATGATTTTAAAGACGCAATAGATGCACACATATGTAACGTTTAGTTTTATAAATGCAATTCGCATAATTTTTCGGTAACCTGCAAATAATAACTTTCTAAAGAATTAGAAACTGAAAACTTTCGTGTGCGAGAGCTAAATGAATTTTTTATACTTTAAGGATGTATATACCCTTAAAAAATAAGAAATGGAAACAATTTTAGTGCGAGAAGTGCTGTTGTGTAAACAAAGTCTATTAGACCTTATTTCGGCCTAACATAAGGATATTTCAATTTATTAAATAAATCTAGGGACTATTTACGAAATACGCAGTGTTGATTCGTTTCGTTTGAATTTGTATTTCAGTGTTATTTTTCTTTTAGTATTGTTTGTAATTGTGTTATTTTCATTTCAAGTCCATCGCTTTTAAATTGTTCAATTTAGATATGATGCTTTAACTAAGACACATTCACAGATCTACTAGAGTTTTCGCCTTTTGGTTGTTATTTATTCGTTTGCAACAGGGAGTGTTTATAAAGCAACAGTTAATTAATTTCATGGAATTGCACATCTGGTGCAGATGCAGATTTTATGAATTGCGTGTTTTGTTTAGAAATGGGGACGTTTTTATCGCGTTATTTGGCGAGGTTTCGGAAATTTTGAATGAGATTGTGTTCTAGTGGTGGTGCTGGGATCCTGAAATCAACTTAAAAACAAAACTGCTGAATTTTGCGACGTTTGAAGAACGTGTATATTTTTTACGCTAAATTTTCGGTCAGTTAGCCCTATTTTTTTAGTTGAAGATTTAGTTCGTCAGTTTCATAATAAATTTGTGCAGAAGCACTAAAGTGGTGTGTGAACTTTAACGCGTGTTGTCCGATTTGGGTAAAAATTTAAAGTAAAAGCAAGCAGTTGTAGTACAGCTAGGCCTTTCGTTAAGGTTCTTATTCTTATAAAAAGTTAAAAGCTTCTCCCGTCCGCATAGCTACCGCAAATTTGTCATTTTATTCATTGTCGTCTAATTCTGTGTTATAAGCTAAGGTGAAGTTCAGAAGCTGTCAGTTCAATTTTGATTTGGTTTAAGCTCACTAGACAGGCATTTTGTGGGTGGTGTAGTGACCGCATGCCATTGCACACTGCAAGATGTAACTCTCAAGGGAAAGTTTCACCCCTTTGAGCGGTCGCTAAGTGAATGCCGATTTTGTTGGTAACACTGCAACTCAATACTAACCTGCGAAAAACAGTTAGAATTTAACACCTTCCTTGGACAAGTAGGTAGTGGATGATCTAAACGAAATTAGATATAGAACCTTTTCTTTGTGCGAGTGTCTTTTAAAGGAAGTCAATTTGTTTGGTAATAGCTACTGCAACTTGTAATCAAAAGAAATTAGAACAATTCTAGGGCGAATGGTAAATGAATATTTGTAACTACGCTTCCAAAAGTCGTAAAATTTACGTTTCTAATCTAATTTTATTCTCGGCAACCATTGCGCATATTCAAATGGAACTAGGTAATAGAAACCAAATTTTAGAACCACTTTAACAAAGTCAATAAAAATACAACACTATGTTTTGGAGCAATTTGTGTATTTGTGGCCTAGTATGATTCAATAGGGTTGTGCCTTGGACCTATATAACATATAACCAAGTAACAAAACTCTAGGACCTCCCGCTTAAGAGTTATCGCATGGACAGATAGACGGACAATGGGTACGATTTCAAGAAGGACCTGTTTGATTTTGGCTAAAATCGGAAATGTTAATAATTACCTATATAGAAAAAATACTGTGAAATGTATGTTAGGTATGTGATGTAATTTCTATGGAAATCAATGTGTTAGCCGAGGTATCCATCCGATCACCCTTTAATCGTGTAAAATAACGCATTTCTTATTTAATTTTTTCTCAGCTCCCATATAATGAAAGGCTTTACAAAGATTATTTCCTTTGTGGGTATCTCTCCAATGAATGGACTAGTTAACGAAATGAAATAAAATATACGAGTATATCTAATCCATTCTACGGGATATTTACGTATTTATTAATGTCGTACTTACATTATGAGCATCCATCTTACAGCGAATGAGCTACTCGCTGGAACAAAGCTGTGAACAAACACATACACTCATACTAAATTAATAAATAGTAGAGTTGTTATTCGTTTATTATTTTAATTGAAATTTTATAAATCGAATATTAAAAAATTGAAAGTACAAAAGCTGAAAATATCAACATTACAAGTATAGTAATACTAATAATAATATAATAATTGGTATTGCAAATCACTAGATTAAGTAACAAAATACAACATAGCTTAAAATGTAACTAGTTTGGCATTGAGGGAAATTTATTTGTTTTGCATTTATATATTTACATATATTACTAAATTTGAATATAACGATCTTGTTTTTCTTTTTATATATGTGCGCATAACTGGAAACTTTCATAAACATTTGAAAATTTACAGTTGCATAATTAAATAAAGATTTCAAGCAAAAACAATCTGCATTTTGAATGCATATTTGAAGCATAACATTTTCACGATTTTTTTTACTACATTTATGATACGTATTTCTTGTGGAACACTTTATACATCCATCTTTCTCTACAACCCTGCTAAATTTATCAATATTAAGCACAGTTAAAATATTTACAACCAAATAGTTTTTCGCACTCGTTTTTGACATACAGTGATGGAAGATGTTGATTTATCTAAAGGTATTATAAAATGTGCGTTATTTTTAAATGTGTTGTAAATGGTCTATCTATATATCATTTCAGTTGTTCCCGAGTTGAAAGAAAAAAAATTCTCATCTACGTGAAATATTTTTTGGATCATGAAAAAATTCTAACTTTGTACGGCAGTGAAGTATTGCAACAATGTTGTCAGGACCGGCCTGGCTTTTGCTTTTTAATTTTGAGAAGACAAAGAATTCACTTAATTAAACGTACATACAGCACATAGTATGTTTATGACTATGCGTGGATGTCACCGGAATTGATTTTAGTCGGTGTTTTCTGAGCGTGAGTATCAATGACGGGTTCGGCGGCCAGCGATAAGGTTAAAGGTTTCATTTTCAGCGGATGCCCGTTTAGCTTCAAATCCGCTCGGGAGGAGTCTTTAAATTCGCGACTGTGAGACGAAACCGAACCAGGACTTACCGCAGCTTTGTGGTTTTCCCTGTTCGATTTGCTTTTGCTTGTTACTTGCTCACGTAAGGCCATTTGGTATGCGAGCTCGAACGCCTGGCCTAATGTAAGAATAATGTCGGTTGCGTGATCCTGAAACAAAGCACAATTTTAGGGCTACTTTCGATTAAAAATATTTTAAGATGGAAGTACATACATATCACAAAGGGTGAACTGTACAGTAGGCAAACACTTTCCATTGCAGTAATTTTTTGGCAGATATTCGAGCGAACATATTGAAACTGCCGTTATTTAAAATAAGTTAGTTTTCCTGTCACGTAAAGTATAACTGCATAATAATTCAACATTGACATGTAAGAACTCCTCATTCTGACGTTGATACTAGTGACGTCAAAACCTAATTGGTACCAGACAAATAACGATTGATTGATTTTTCCAAAGCGTGGAGAGACATATTCAACTAGAATAATGGTGTTTCCACTCCACTTGCTCAGCGCACCAAATTTGGTTCACGTATGCGTTTGACTATAAACCCTCTGACTCGATTTGACTCACAGATCCGTAGATCTAACTTGACTAAAGTCGGGCTTGACACACTTTTTATTATTAGTGCAAGTGACATCTAATTTGGACTGTGATCGATTGCGGCTCGATACCCGCAATTCTTAGTTTTTTGGATTCCTAGATCATGAACCTTGGCGTCGTTTTTTTAAGATACCCGACTTTTTGATTGTCATCATTTTAATTGTGCAAAATTTTATCGGTACTTAAGGTTGTATAAGCTTTATCTTCCATTTTGGTATGAGAGGTGGGTCTACGAGTCTTTGTTCTTTTCAGGTTGCGAGACTGGTATCTAAAAGACTGATTCGCCCTTGGGTTATGACATGAGCTATGGCCATGATACAATAAATATAGGATATGATATTGCGCATGTAGGAGGAGTTATGAATCACGTATGTGACGTCACGCGGTGAATTTCAAATTAAATATAATTATCTGTCAGTGTAGATTTTGGTGCTTTTTTGGAATTTGTGAATTAGTTTTCAACAAAATGAGATGTTCCGTGGTTGGATGTACCACAGCTAATGGATCAAAACAGTTTTCAAGCAATCTAATGATTTCCGGTTCCCGAATGATCAAAATATTCAAAAGCGTTGGGTGTTAGTTTGTAACCGGCCAGGTCACATTAATGTGAAAACTGCCAGAGTATGTTCGAAACATTTTAACGAGTCGTCTTATGAACGGAATTTGCGGTTTGAACTACTGCTATACCGCCCGAAAAAATCGAAAAAAGGAAAAACTCAAAAATTGTTTCTTAAAGTGGTAGTTTTGAGACAATATTAAGTATTATAACACTGGTTACTGAACCTCATATCTCAGTGTTCACGAGATTACTAATTTAATATGTTATGTGTGCTTGTTTATTTAATATTTTGTAAATAACTTGAGACTATTCTAATAACAAACATGTCTTTTTTTGTACCTACTCCTTTACACTTCCTGATGTCCGATTTACTTTTTAAATTCTATATTACCAATTTATCTAGCAATAAAGAACAATAATTCATTAAGGATATTTTTTTCTTATCGAATGCGTTTTTGAATCTAGTAAATTATAACTTGTGTACCTAGACCTACATGATTCAATATTTTATATTAGTCATTTCGTATTTAATATCTACTCCACAATGTTTAGATATTTTAGCATAAGTAGGTATCTTACCATATTATGAAAAACGCCTGCATTTCCTCTTTTTATGGTGCTTTTAATTATAGCTTATAGCATTTTTAAAGGTGGTCTTTAACGATCTCTCGATATTTTTCGGCATATTTTGCGTTTAGGTTTTATAATTTCAACTCCCTTTTTCCCTTAAACCATTATAATTAAGAAAATTTAGTATTTGTAGTAGAATTAAGAAAAAATCCGGCTTTAAATTCAAATTTTATCACCGCGTGACGTCATGCGCGAACTGGACGAATTTGGAACGGCAATCTAGCATATCTTGTTTTATTTATATCATGAGCTATGGCTATGCTCGACTTTATACTTTCCATTTATTTTTATAATTCGCTCCCGGAATATTAGTTTCCAGAATATTCCAGAGAATTCGTCCTCGAATATTTTGGTTTGTTATCTATTTCACTTTAATTTTGATTTTTTCATGCTTAAGATTTACTTTCTCCTTAAACTTTTATCTCAGGACTATCTATGTGACTCCTTTCATTTAATATATTCCGTAACTTGATTTTTGATTTTTTTCTAATCTTGTGTCTTAAAATCGAAAGCTAAATTCGAAAATGGTCACAGTTCATTTTCAATTTTATTGCCACACTTACAGTTAGAGTCATCTGTTTTTTTTATTTTGAAAGATCTGTTGAAAAGACATAGATTTGGTTATCAAAATTTCGATTTAAATTCCTGAGGTATAGAATGTATTTTTGTGTAAACAACGGCTTGTAGTTATTTCGGTCTAAACACCAAAAATAATAACGGGACATCCTGTATGTGAGAATATCTTTGTTTGAGTGCATATCCGGCGGTTATTTACGAATAAGCACAAAGTTGATTTGTTTTATTTGAATTTGTATTTCAGTGTTTCTTTTTCCTGTTAGAAATTTATTAGATGCCTAATTTTTCGTTTTAATTGTATAATTTAGATAAGGCGAAATAAGGTTTTATCTCGTCTTTTGCGATAAAAAGTTTTGTTAGGTGAAATCTAATTAATGCACGTATTCTATTACTGATACCGAGGAGATGCAGGTGTTTCGAAGAATTGCGCGTTTCATATTGTAGAAGTGGGGACGAGGCGCATTCCGTCGTTATTGGCGATTTATTTGAAAATGCATAAAGAAGGAGATTTTGGTGTCGTGGAAGTGGTGTTTCGTTGAATACTGGAAAAAACGAAGATTCCGGTTTCTCGAGCATGTATTTGGTTACGCTAAATTTCGGACAGTCAGCCCTATTTGTTTTGTTGAAGGCACAATTCGTCATTTTTTATAATAAATTTGTGTAGAAACCATTTAACCAAAATGGTAAACAGTTTTAACGCGTGATTCCCGATTACGGAAGACGTTTTAGCGAGGTGAAAAAGTAAGCAGTTGTAGTACAGTGAGGTCTTTTGTTAAGGCTCTCTTCCGACTAAATTTGTCATCAAATTTTTTTTTGGCACCTAATTCTGTGTTATAAAGTAAAGTGAATTTCAGAAGCTGTCTGCGTTTGTGTGTAAGTTAAGTGCACCTAAATATCGCAAACCATGTACGACCAGATTATTTGGATTATTTAAAAAAAATGCAAGTAATTTTAAGATTTATGATTTTATTTGTCGGCCGCTTGCGTGCGGGGTAATATGTAAAAGAAGTTTTTCTTTCTTTCGGGTTTTTTTTTGTTGTGCTTCGGAATAAATGTCAATCAATTACTTGTGTGTTTATACGAATCCATTGCGGGACCCGATGGGAGGTTTGATGCAAGATTTTTATTTTTGTGCCCAAGAATTATGTAGTTTCTTTGGAATTTTCGGAAGTTGTTCGTGGCTACTGCTTCTCCCAAATTGTTAATTTAAAGTCATTGCGACTGCAGCTGGACGTCTACAAGGAAAATAATTATAATTGTAAATTTAAAGGTTGATAAAGATCTCTTCTCATTTCTTTTTCCGAACGTTGTAACGAAGCACCCGTTTTGATGCCGAGACATGTAACAAATTTTAGTGACCACTCTGTAGAATGCCACCGGGTATTTGGGACCGATATGTATTTGGGCTTCGTTAGAAGATTGTGACGGCTGAACTTATTTGTGCTCCTTATTTTTAAAAAATAAAAATTATTACATGTTCTGCCAGGTTCATATGAACTTAGCAGAACACTACCTCAAAAAACCAAGAAAATGAAAAGTGAATTAACTATAATTAGGTGCTAATTAAGTGCCCTATCCCCGAATTAAGTGCTCCTTTTTTTTTTAAATTTTTTACATGTCCTTCCAGGTTCATAATTAAAAAAAGGAGCATTTAATTCGGGAATAGGACACTTAATTAGCACGTAATTAGCACCGAATTATAGTTAGTTCACTTTTCATTTTCTTGGGTTTTTAAGGTAGTGCGCTGTTGAGTTCATATGAACCTGGCAGAACATGCCATAATTTAAAAAAAAAGGAGCATTTAATTCGGGAATAGGGCACTTAATTAGCATCTAATTAGCACCTAATTATAGTTAGTTCACTTTTCATTCATTCAACCTTTCCTCGGCTAACGAGTCGATACTTTGATTTAAAAAAATTAAATTAGAATACGGAATACTTCCTTTCAAAAGAACCTAATTCGCACTCTATGAGACTCTCCCGGTATAATGCATGCACGAGGGAAATGGTCAAAACAGGCAGTTTCTTCGACTCCAAAAAATTCACGTTAAGGAAACTGGAAACTGGAATACCTTGTTTTAAAGGTCACTCCTACTCCTTTGACAAAATCCTCCTCGGTAAATTTGACCTAATGAAAAATTGCGGTCAAAAAAATTCACGACTGAATAACTCTTTCCATGAATGTTCGGCTAGGCATATTCATTCACACCGGTAATTTTCACCCTCAACGCAAATTTATCTCACAGTTGTACCCGATCATTATCAACATTATGGCCCTCTTTGATTTCTTTGTTTAGCCCCAGAACTTTGCTTCAAAAAATGAAAACTCGCACCAGGTAAATTCGATCCCGCAATATTCGCCCTTAAAATATTGTTCACCGCGGAAAGCTCGGTCTAAATTTAGAGTTTAAAAAATAGGTTAAAATTTTCCCTTTTCACACCTTCAGTTTATATAAAACGCTATTAGTATCCTACAAGTTCTACAATCGAGAAAGAGGAAGGATACGATAGCCTCGAGTTTTTTGGAGGCGAATCTTTCCGAGAGCGCATCTTCCGAGGTTGAATCCGTCTTGGAAATATCATTTGTGGGCGAATACTCCGGAGGCGGCGCTTTTTTTTTGTCGATAATTTCAAGATCGAATTTACATAGGGGAGATTTGCTCTAGGAGCGAATATTCGAGGAGACAGCTTTCGGGAGAGAATTTTTGGGATGAGTTCTCAGGGACAAATACCTCTCAGCGAGAATCCAATTGAACTCAAAGGGCTGGAGTGACTCTATTCCATTTCCCGTCCAATGAGCCTTTTCTTAGCTTAAGTGCAAGTGATTTTTTTGAAGCGGTTTAAGGACCCGATGGGCGCGATTATACTATTCTGCCCTAGGGAGATCCGCGAGTGCAAGATAAATTTAATGGAGTCGTTTAGTCCACTGGGCCTGAAGGTATTTATTCTCCTCTGTTGGACCACGACCCGATTGAGTCTCTCACCAATATCTACTTGGTTGCCTTGTTCAAGAGGGGCAGAATTGCGAGGCACTATTGCCTAATTGGAGCAGCCATTTCAGTGCCAAAAGCTAACCGAGAATTAATACAGGTAAAGTGGACTTTGGCACAGTCATCCACTGATGTCTAAAATTGGCAGCGTAGCAAATGGATGCTTCAGAAACATTGATAAATTTGAATACGTTTAATCATTTAAAATCTGCGGAAATATGTTCCTTGTTTCATGGTTGAGTGGAAATTCGTTATTTAATGGTTTCACATATAAATCCGAAACCACAAATTTATCTAGAAAGGAGCGTGTACTTACAGCGGTATCCGTGGAAAACACGTGGCAGTAGTAATTGCTGGGATCTCTTGTGATGTAGGCGAAGTAGGTCAAACACTCAGTGTCCTGGCAGGCGCAATTAACGTTCTTAATTTCGTGTTCACATATTAATTCCTGGAACAGTGCGCCTTTTAGTGCACGTCTCGCTACAAAAGTAATTCCTTACCTGAGTGACGGGGTTAATAAATTTAACGCCGGCGTACGAAATTGACAAAATTATGTCCTGATCGTTGCGATCCTCCGTATTTTTTCGAATTTTCAGAATCGACTTTTTGGTAGACTCGGTCCCCTTGAATTCGCGTATCGACGTCGAGCCTAGATACTGTAAAAAAAAACTTTTGTCACAAACACGCATTTATAAGGAAAAAGTTTGAGACTAACATTTGCCGTATACTTAATGGCGCCGGTAATGAGCAAAATGGGCTGATGTCGCCATTGGGATTTAATGGAATTATTGCCCCCGACAAAAAGCTCGGCAGGTTTTCTGCTTTCCTCTTTTTTAGGAATATTTATAGGTGGAGGAGGAGCTGGTCGAGACTTTTTGTGACGATGTCGTAAAGTGCCGGTGCCTGAAGTGTCTTTAGGTGCATGAGCTGATGGCGACCGGAGTTCGGCTTTCAAAGTTTGAATGTTGCTCTTCTGCGTTAAAAGGGTTAGTTACTGTAAAATTTGGAAAGTCTTACTAAGGTATTAATGTCAGTATGGAGATCCTCCAGCTTCGGTCCAGGCATGATATGTTCGCCACTACTCACACTCGCCAGTATTCGTTTTCGATGGCCAATTTTCTCTATCTCTAAAACCGCAGAAAGCTCCACGTCCCAAATCCGTTTAATTCGGCTCATATCGTGATACAAGTGTTTCGCGAAGGTTTCCGCGTACTGCCCCAGGTGAATTTTGCGTAGCCATTGCTCGACGCTATCAATTTGCTCCTCAACGTTATTATTATTGTAAAAAGTTTGATCGTTTACTTTCAAAGGCAAGCGCTTGCAGGAATCTAAAATAAGTTGCCGTTCGAGTTCGCTAACAATCCCCATTTCCTTTAAATCAGATTCTTCCAAAACGCCGTTCTGAAGAGAATAAAATTTGACTTGAAAATTCTCTCATCTACACACGCGTGAGGGGATGAGGAAAGTGACGCGTCAACTTACCAAAAAATCAAGATCGTCGAATCCGTTCGTAACAAACAGCCCTACGTAATCGTTCATGTCTAAGTTCTGTAGCCACTGATCGATCGTGTGAACCGATCCCGGATTTAAATTATTTTGCGACACGCTAAGGCTCATTAATCTAGTTTGAAATTCTTTCTCCAATTCAGTTACAAATACCGATTCCCGAACAATTCCTGTGCCGAACGACGCCATAATTTCTTGTATTTTCGCCCACTCCTCTTGTTCATCAAATGGACTAAGAGAAGTAACCCTCTCCTTATTCTCTTTATTATCGCAATCTTTTTCGGAACTTGAAGAAGAATTACTACGCGACTTCTGATCCAATTTCGTTGAGCAATCTAAGGAATTATCGTAAACGTTCTTGAGCTTTTTAAGGGTTTTGGGGCGTTCGGGCGGTTTGTGTGAACCGTCTGTTGTTTTAGCAGACCCTTTACATAAACCTACGAACAAATAAGCAATTCAGTTGAACATTGCACTTTTAAGTAAATAAATCTGAACATAAACAGTTAAGTATACAATGAGTAAGCGTTGTCGGTCGCTTTTGGAAATATAGAATTAAAGTTTCGTATTTGTTTCCAACAAAATTCCGTCCGCAAAATTAATTAAAAGGGCGGGAATTAATTAACTCTAATTTATTATTAATATTGTTGTACTATAAATTTGTAAACGGTTTCATTGTGAAATAATTTCAAATTTGCCAGTCTGTTTGAAAATCAAGAGCCATTTTTCTATTTTATATGCAATTCCCGTTTGTTTTTAGAACACATCTTTCCCTAGGGAAGGGACCTTAATTAGTTAACGAGAAAAAAAAAAGTTATTTAAGTAAATAGCTATGTGTTACACCACGGGAAAGATTTCTTTGACTTGCTTTTATACATTATTAATCATTCCTTTTCAGAATTCTTTCACTGAATTCCCATAACGCTAGGATACCGTACAGTGTACAGGGAGGTTTCCGCTATCTATAACTTACAAATCAATTCCATTACATTACAGAAATAGTGTATTTCACCATTTCCAACATGTTAGTACAGAGTATCCGAGAAAGTATGTAATATCCTATTTATCTCTGTAAATATTGACTATCATTTTTTTTCTGTACATCAGAAACTGATTTTTATTTACTTTTTTTGTAAAAATCAAAAGAGAATGGAAAATCGATTTTCTTAAGTGACTAATGCATACCAATTTTGAGATTCTCAGTCTTGCGATTTATTTTCAAAGTCTTTTTTGGGAAAATTAATAAACGTAATTTGGAAAGCGCAAAAACGAGTAGACTTGGTGATTATTGCTGAATTTTGAAAGTACAAAACAACAGAAAAATTGCACGTCCCTAAAATTCGATGCTGAATGTTCAGCCATAAGAAAATTCTACGAGAATAGCATATTTAAATAAGGTCCAGGTAAATTCGCGTTACTCGGATATGCGATTTATTATGCTCCTGTAAATTTCCAGATGGTTCTTTTTTGGTGGAAATACTGTAGCAGGGACGAATCTCGAGCCAATCTCCCGAGATGAATTTTCTAGAGGACGCGAATGAGTTTTCGCAAATGAAGTTTGTTGGAAATTTCTTGGAAAAGAACATTTCCGTCCGTGTTTTTTGCAATTGATTAGTAATATTTGGAAGGGTGTACTCGTAGGCGAATATTCTAGGGCCCACTACACTTGTAGGCGAATTCTTTATGTGAATATTCCGGGGCAAAATCTACAAAATATAACCAGCTCAAATGGATTCCAAAAAAAACATGTCTTTCCTCGCCTCGAATTTTCCTAATATAGGTTAATTAAATAATTATCTACCTAATTCTGGGTTGTGACTTATAATGCGCACCACAGAAGAATTGATTACAGGGCAACTATTTCAGGGGCGCAGTAACAAATACACAAGGGAATGAATTTTGAATATGGTATGGGAAAAATACGGAACCGCTCTATACAACTATCGTTATAGGTCTTCGACCGTTCTGCGCAAATGCCGAAAAACAGGATTTTCCAGAGGAAGCTTGGCAGAAAGTTAACGTCGGCCACCAGATCTTCCGAGCTCTCTGGTAATGGCGCGCGTTACGCTATGTGTATTTGGATTTTCCGTTTTGGAAAGTGAAATTACAGATAGTAATCATTTTGTTCTATCTCGTACTAACCATCATTCTTTGAATTCCATGTCACAATTTGACATTTTGCATTGAATGCTCATATCTGTTGATTGAATGATGGCGTGCTCCAAGCTTTTGTTTCTGAGTACCTTTACTGGAACATGTTTGTTTTTTGTTGTATTTTATATGGTTCAATGAAGTATTTATTTATTGATTCACATGAACGTATATCATCAGTGTGATGATGCTCTATACGATTCGACTAACCGTTTATTCACAAATTATGGTCTTCAGCACTAGCTTTCAGCTTGCCAAGTAATTAATTCAGAAATAGCGCGATAATACGAACCTAATGCTGAAAACCCCAAGACTATCGTTGTCGAGATCTCGACCGATTTATAAAAGGAGACATTTAAGGAAATTAGTAAATTATCAACTTCAGGAATGACTTTCAATTTTCAGACTAAACGATGCAGGAATAACCGGATAGTACGAAACTAATGTTTGTGTGGTGTTCTACTTACGGTGCAAAATATATCTCCATCAACTGTCTTTGTTAGGTATGTTGGCACAGACTCTATTGGAAATTAGCGGCTATATATCTATGGAATATACAGGGTGTTACATACAAAACAAACAAAAATAAACAAAATTGGGTAGGAGAGGTGATCAAAACAAGCGCTTTTTCCGAATAAACTGAGGATCGAACGTGTTTGGTTTGAGAACTGGTCTCAAAGAAGTGGTGAAATTTGCATTTCTTCTTTAATTTTTTTCTCGCCAACCATAACAGTTACAAAGACTGGTGGCACGTCTTTGAATAGGTTTTGGGGGTATTTATTTATTATCCCTCTCTTGTTCTGAGCCCTCAACAGGCTTGCGCCCATTTACAGAGTGACCCGCATAATGCTTTTTGAAGGAGCCTCTGCAGAAGGTAAGTTGTTCTATACTACTCCGATACTGGTCTAATGAAATTCTCATCTCTGTCACAGATGAAAAATTTTTACCTCAGTTCAGGTTCGAACACCCAACCTCCGACTTTATAGCCCAACGCTCTACCATTGAACCACAAAGTCGGTATGCCCTTTTCAAAATTCCTACCATGAAAGGGCGCACCCCTAAATGTGGGTGCGAAAAAATTGGTACTTTGGCTCAGAAAGTATCCCCTGCCCCCCCTCTGATGCAAATAACGAAAAATGAACGATTTAGGACGTAACTATGATTAAAAGATATTTTTACATTCTTATATGCCTGACAACGTTTATTCCAAAATGTTTTCTTTGTTTGGGAAAATATTTCCGGGGCTAATACCCCAAAGTGATACCTTTTATTCAGATTAACATTACTTATCAAACGTATCTCTTAATTTCAAAATCTAGGTCGCTACGATTTATCAAAGTGGGGCTTGTTTATGGGTAATTATTCCGAAAAAAAAACTAAAAAACTAGAATATACAGCGCCATCCATTAAAAAAGATCAGTTGTCGTCTATTGGCACCGTAACTGTACATTCAAAAATAATTTCTGTAGATGCGCACCCATCTATGGTTGACATATTTTGCACAAAAGGTTTTTTGATATTTTTGAGTATGAGCTAAGAAAGGCCGATGGTAAAATGGATATTATCATAGATGTCAGTTTTGAAATTTCCGACTAAAACTTATGGACCCAGGAAATAAATTTCTAGATATTTGCAAGAATCAGTGATTGCTCACTTGTGTGGTAAATTTTCTGTGAAAAGCTCGACACCGAAAGTGGTCGACATGTTCTGCGTGAGGTCATAGATCTGTCACTCAAAGGTTTTCGTAGGTACTTATTTACTTTAGACCCACAGGAGACAGAATTCGTCCTACAGTGTAGTTCGCTGAGGAATTCACACTAGACAAGCACAATATAATGTACCTACTCTACTCCTCATATTTGCGTGACAATGGTAGCGAATTTTATTTTTATTACTTCGCAAGTTTCAGAGCCTCAACACTTGATAAACACGTACCTACGTTCCCTATTGGTCGTTCTGCTCTTAAACGTGACAATTGCAGTTTTTTTTACTGTTATCGACTCATCCTATGTAACTTTAATAGAACTGTCCATATGAATTAAAATTATGAAAGGTAATATTGTGAGTAAAAACAAATTGAATACTATAAATTCTATTTTTCGACCATGAACTGCAAAATTTAAATGACACCCTATATATTTTTACATTCTAGTTCTACAGACAATTGAACACCTCACCTAATAAGTTGTTTTCGAATATTCATACCAAATTGGTTAACAAATAAACTAAGTAGCAAAGTAGCAAACGAGCTCCTGGGTATGGCTATAGCATGTGCAAAACCAAATTTTAAACCTGATGTTAGTTTTGTTTTTATTTAAAAGTGTATATGTATATGTATATTTAATTGCTTCCAGAAATAAGAAAGTTGGCACTGCACATCTTACACAAAACCAAATTTTGAAAATGGCGCTACATTTGCTTTTATTCCAAGTGGCTACGTATCAAATTTCAAAAGGGACTTCCTTATTTTTTGGGCTACATTGCCAATTCACGAACTCTGATCTACAAATTTGATAAAGAATTCATCCACTAAATTTTATCGTAATCGGTCCATTCGTTATCGAGATATCGTGCTAACGGGCGGACAGACACCGCAAAATTATAAACTGGCTAGGAGCTCGTTAATAATTACACGATATGTTCGCATAACGGAAGAAATTTAAAATGTACAGGGCGCTTCAAAATACCTGGGAGAACTACAGACTGAGATCTGATTCTAACACATTTAATAACGACGAACCTCGCATAAATGACCGAAAACACAGTATATATACCAGATTTAAAATTATAATGTACAGGGTAGTTAGTTTGAAAATAACTGAAAATGTCAAATTTCGTTTTAATTTTTTCTGGTTTAAACGGTAAGAAATGGACGGTTCCTTCTATGGGCACTTCTTTTCGAAGAATCTGAATCTGTTACCAGACTTTTCAAACACGCTAGATCTAGAAGCTATACATGCTACTACTTTCATATTTTTTATGAACGCCGTATTGGATTTTTACGGAGATAAGGGGACAAAAAAGGAAAATAATGACTTGTCACACTATACTTTTACATAAATTTACAAGAAATTTCAAAATCAAATGTTTTACATTCATTTATCAACAAAACATCCACGGATATCTAGATCTTGCTGAATCTACATTATTTTTTATTATCTTTTTGTCCTCATTCCGATTCTCCGAAAAAAAAACGAGAACGGCCCATTTCCGACAGTTTAAGCTAGAGAAAATAAAAACGAAATTTGACATTTTCAGTTATATTCAAAGATTTTTTTAAAATGTCAAATGCGTTTTAGTCACAAAAGAGTCACTTTTTTCCCCATTTAACCTGCACTGCATCTCTTACCGTTACGGAGATCTCATTGGTGACCCACGAATTTATACCACCCTGTACAATCCAAAAACGTAAATTTAAATTTCGATTTTTGTAGTGAATTCCGGTCAAACCAGAAGTAGGTAATAGGAATTTCGGATAGGCAATTTGTTTTTATTCATATCTCCCACCAGAATTTTATATTAATACCGTCAATTCTGCCAAAGTTACAGGGGCTTGGACCTTGGTTTGCAAACTCCCCCCTGTCTTTTTACTTCTGAAGTACTCGGGTTTTGAACACTGATTAGTCGATTGTACGCGTTGTAACACTTTCTCTGCGAAAATGACACTACATTTGCCCAGATCTTGGAACACTTGGAAATTCAATTTGAAATCGCCATTCCATGTTCTAGTGCTATTGGCAACTTTCATTTTAATCGAGCTCAATTTACAATATGAAGCATTTTCTCCTCAAGATCACAATGAAAAACAATTGAGCATCAGGATATCGAGATATTGTTGCTGAATTTAAAGTCGAATGTAAAATCCTTTAAATTGATGTTTTAATTGAACAAAACTAATTGTACAGCAATGAAAATTGCAATTGAAAATGAAAACTTATTCGTTTCTTCGGACCCGATCTTTATTTTCAGATTCCTTGTACCTAGAGAATTTTTTTAATTATAATTATATGCCACGCACTGTGGTTTTTATTTACGGTTTAAGTATAATATCTAATTCACTAATCACTATGATCTTTTTCTTCTTATATTTGGTACTAATAATGAGTCCAGTACAAACAACAAAAATGACTGAATGAAAAAAGTTTAATAAGTTTGATCTGTGCTTATACAAGTCAGGAACGTAAACCGTAATACCCTATCAATATTTCCATCTTTGCATGCTCAAATTTACATTTTCAGCTCAAAAGCGGTTATCATGTATATATCTAAACTAAAAATGGAAGCCTTTGTATGGCATATTACATGTGCTTTTGTGTACTTTTAGTTCCTAAGAAAGATGGCGAGTGTCGTTTTTGTGTGGACTTCCGAAATGTAAATGGAGTAACAGCGCGTGATGCATATCCATTGCCTTACATTATAGACAATCTCAGTAAGAGTTAGGTGCTGCTAGGTATCTTTCTTCTATGGAGATCTGTAGTGGGTATTGGCAGATTGGTTTAGATGAAAATAGTAGAAAAGGTAGTCTTTATCGTTCCAGGAAAGTGATTATTTGAGTATACCAGGATGGATCTCGGATCACACAATGTAATATATATATAATATAATATGTAATAATGCCCCTGCCACTTTTACCGGCAAAAATTTTAGAATTACGAGTGGATCTACTTACCTGACGTTACGTTCTTATATTTTAATACTATGGGTCCGTTGATTGCAGTAATTGAACGGAGAATTCACAGTCCCAAATTTCGAATAAAATGATATTTTTTTAGTAAAACGAATCTTAAAAACCGGACTGTTGCGATTGTTAATAGAATTAATTAAGTAGATTCTTTTTTGAATGAATTCAAATTATTTTTATTATTTTTGTGTTCTAACCGTGGTTGAAACAGGTGACACGTTAACGATTGTTAGAAAGTTTTTTTGAAAATGTTACAGATTTATATCAAATTTCCACCTACCTGCAAAAGGCGCGTCGGAATGGTACTCCTCAAGAACATTATCACAACTTTTATCGGAGAGGGAAACGCTGCTAGAAAACGACTCACTCGATTCGTCGCATATTAACAAGTACTCCTCTTGCGTCTCAGTCTCCATATCTTTCGATTTCCTCTTGTATTCCTGGTGAACCGAAGAATGTGTCTAGCGGGAATTTCTTATGCCAAACGCACGATGCTTGCTATATTAAATAGCCAAAGGTACGTGCTCTAAAATTCGTGCGTACTCTCATGCAGTTTTATTTTTTTTTGTGTGAGACAAAAGCGGAAAAGTGAGGGGGCCAATTAACTTTTTCATGCCTTTCGCTTTGCTCTCAATTAATTGCGAGGGAACAACGGAACGCTAGATCTTTGTAGCTTTGCCGCTTGAAAAATAAAAAATTAAATGCGCAAAGTGCAACATAAACACGTAATACTCAATAAAAGCCGCTTTTTATTTCAAAATTAACACATAACAGGGACACATAAAATACTGTTAAAAAAAATTAACAACAAATATAATATTATGGCAGGTATAAATAAATTCTATTTTAATACTCTAACATAGACTCTAGCATTCTTTGAACATTTAGAATGGTTACAAACTCACCTGACTTAGCGGTCGCACTCGTTCGTAAATGGTGTTTTCGGCGTGTATCGCCGAAGGAGGAGGATGGTCTGGGGTGGGAGGCTGCTGGTAATGAGTGGGGCTTAGAGGATTATTTTTTGATTTGGGTACCCTTTGAATGTGCCTCTCGTCATCACTAGTTTCGTTGTAACTGTCTTGGTAATCATCTTTAATCATAATAAATGCACTAGACACAAATGTAGACGCGGGTGCCGAGCAACTCGTTTTCACTTGGTCTTCTTTGTTTCTAAAGTCGTACTCTTCGTACACTTCAGGATTTCGCCGCAATTTTCGTTTTGGATTTTGCTGTTTGACAATCATATTTTCGTACACGGAGGTTATCGCAACGGGTTCTAATCGCGTGAGTGCCTTTCGCGTGTCTAAATCTTCACTTTTGCCCCGGTGCAACTCTTTAACTGGCCGTTCTTCTTCTTCGTCCAGGGCGATATTGAATACCGTATTCATTTCCACGTACTGATCGACACTACGCCCGTGTACCAACCGTTCCCGTTTCTTCTCGTGTTGCAGTTCGTTGAGATCACTGTGACTCCGTGTGCCACTATGCGCAAGAAAAACGTACTCGTACGCATTATTACTGACTCCGTCAATTGACATCGACATGGGGTGCAGGTGCGTAGGAGATCCCGATAGGTTTCGACGTGGTGGTTTTTTAGGAGGAGTGGGCTGTAACAAAACTCCGCATTAGATACGCCACCGATGGAGACGCAACGGGAACTAACCGAAACTTTGTTATTCGATCCTGGGCTACGACCCCCTTTTATGTTATTCATGGGCATATAAAATGGAGTGCCGCCGCTATCGGGCCGCCGTGGATAGCTGGTGCTTGAAGCAGTGGAAGACAAGCTGGTGCGATCTGCTTCACGATGGTTTGTTAAAAAATGGAGATCTTCAGAGTGACCACTAGAGTCCATGAACAATTTTGGCGCGGGAGGCGTATGAAATAGGCTGTTATCAGAATCTCTGGAACAATCAGAAGCCGTTCTATAAGAAGACTCTGACGAATCGCGTTCTCTAATACAGATTTTCTCGCTGAACGCAAACGTTATGCTGCCCATTTGTGACGGAATTGAACGCGGATCATGCAAGGTGGAGAGTTTGGGTGGTCGCTTCGTGCGTTTGTTGCTGGGTAAACTTTGGTAAAATCGTGAAAAGCGCCTGGAACATGCGTGCATGCTAAGCCATGCATTTTGTTTTTGCTAAAGCAAAATCTTTAAAGGTTTAGGAATGCTTCACTTACATCGACATCGCCGAGGTGCCCGATGTTCTCCGATCTTCAACGCCTTCCACTGACCGTGCGTGGCGGTAAAAATCCCAACGGTGTGGGGAGGTACCAGGAGAGGGCTCCGCAGTCAGTGACCTGCCTCTTGAAGACGGACGTACATTTTCGTATGGACTCCCTATATCGGAATTGGTGCTAGGAACTGGAGGAAAAGGTTGACTAATACTTTCACCATCACTATCTTGAGCTATCCACGACCTTGTATATCCTACGGGAACACGCTATTGTTAAAAGTCAACGCTAAAGAGTTCGTTACGTTTTATAATTCCCACTATCTCTTGAGTGGCCTGAGCGGGAAACTGGCTGAGTAGATCCATAACTGTATAATGGTGCGCGTCTCTAATAGACATATCGGCGCCATGTTCCAGAAGCGTTCGAACCACTTCCACCTTACCACAAAGAGCGGCTTCATGAAGCGCAGTTCCAGAAGGCGTCCTAACGTTGACGTCGAAACCGGACCGTAAAAGTACCTCCACAACCGCCCTAAATTCACACAAAATAGGTAACGATTAAAATCTGACCGCAAAATTAACGAATGATGCACCTGGTTTCAGAAAACTACACGCTCAATGAGCGGGCAATAAGCTTAACTCTATAAAGCATGCATATGGTCGCAATCAGTTTAACGTACGCGTGACCTAACACACATATCACGCCCTAGCGGACATTTTACTACGCTTATTTCTGCTGAATGGTATAAATAACTGTTGCTGGGAAATATGTGGGCAAGTAGAGACGACAGAATTTATTTACGGTCATTAAATAAAATCTTTGTACCATCCTGTACGAAATTAAATTACATTTTTGGATAGATTTCTCGTACGCATAGCCACGCAAGTAAAAAAGGTGCATTACTTCAATTCTACTTCATTTGAAATACTCTCTTTACTTTAAAAGAATTTCATTTACACATCAGTATAAATGAAACACAATCTTCTACGGAAATAGAATAGTTCCCTAAAATCAAGAAAATTTGCCCTCGCACTGCTTCAATTAAAAATACGTTACATGTACCAAAATTTATTTAAAATTCGCTCAATTCGTCATATGTTCTGAACGTCATTTTATAACGTGCATTTGAAATAAGAATGAAAGATTTCACTAGAATGCATAATCATTTGTTTCACTTTATCTACCCTTACCTTATCCTTACGGTTAAAGAATGACTTAATCTACTCATTCAAACCTATTTAAATGTCATTTTAACATATAAATTATCAAATTATCAAAATGCCTCAAGTGAAACAAGTAATCGATAGTTACTAGAATAGTACAGAGATTGAGTTAAAACTGTAGAGTAGCAGTACGTCTTCAAACCAGCAGATACTAGATAACCTATGACCTAATTTTTTTCAAATGAAAAAGAGGGAAAATGCCAGGGCAAATGCAAATAATTCGTTGGTCATAATGAAATTTTTTCACTTTCGATTTGGCCCCAATTTTTGTTCTATTTTTAAAAAATCTTTTCGGCCAAACCGGAAGTGGGAACGTTGGTATTATGACCAATGAGCTTTTTGCTCCCTACTCTAGGAACTCCGGAACGTAGGTGCACGTATGTATAGACAAGCTCTACTATTATAAAGCAATGTGCTGGTTATGCGCTAATATGCCACTGATAATAACCCCCGCGCCATTATCGTTTTTTAGAAATCCGAAAATGCATAGGGGGGGGGGGTGTTACGGCACATTTTGAGGGCATAATGAATGTATGATGTAGTGCAAACACCTTGTTAAAAAACGTAGCTGAAAAGATGAGTTAATCTCTTGCCCCCCCCCCCCCTTAAAAAAATGTATGATGTAGTGCAAACACCTTGTTAAAAAACGTAGCTGAAAAGATGAGTTAATCTCTTGTTAATCTCCCCCCCCCCCCTTAAAAAAATTGTTACGGTTTTACCGTGAGTGGCGTAATTGTGCGCATAAAAAATGTATCGGTTGGCGTAAATACAGGTAGCAAAATGCCGAGCAAAATGCGTTATGGGGGCTGCGTATCCTTGGCCCCTCCCAAACATATTTAAGGATAACCAAAAATGAAGAATGGCGCAAAGATATCTTTTTACAGAGCATTACAAATACATTTGAAAAAATGTGCTAAACACTAGCTTTTAAAAATATTAATTGGCCCCTTTCCCCACGCTTTTTTGAAAATTTGTCATGGCTTAACCGTAATGGCTAGCTTTAATTCAAGTGGCGCAATTGAGAGAATAACTAGATATACCAAGTGGCATATACCAGCTGCAAAATACGTGGGGGTGGGGGTGTCTAAGTAAACTTGTCCATCTCCAATGTATTTTCGGGGGACCAAGTTTTAACGGACCCTAAAAGATCTCTAGTTACATTACACTTATTGCACAAAAGCATAAAGTTGTATCTGTACATTTACACATCTACTGTCACTGTACCCTCAGTAGAAACCTACAAAAGTTATCATACAGGCAGGGAATGGTCATGTTCACGACGTTTCAATTTTGCAGATTATAGTTGTTAACAGACGAAGAAACCAGCAATTTACAAGTAGCTACCTATACCTACCACTAGGTAATCATCGTACAATGTTAACAGGTCTTGGAAGCCACAGTTACGAAGGACCTATTGCATTTGACATTATTAAAATTTTGTGCAACGGAGGAAGTTGCGATTGTACTTTTACTCTCAAACGCCTGCTCTTATATCATATATGACTTAGGGTCGCAACGCTTGCAGCTTCCAAAATTTCATTTGAGGTATCTGAACTGTCGCTATCACCCATTTTGATACGCACAAAACACACGCAAAGATGCTAATTATAATTTATTACATACGACAGGAAATACTTTGTTTTTAATTGTCTAAGATAACTATGATTTTCAGGAAAAATATGTTTATGAGCAAATTTTTGAATTCTTTTTTGATGATCGCCTAAAAAATGTTGTGTGCACCTTGGCCAAAAGTGATTTGTTAGGCCTCATCTGAATTGCGGCCTCGGCTACCGCCTCGGCCACAAACAGCAGCTTCGACCAAAAAAGATCACTTTTACGGCCTTGGTACACAAATAACTATTTTAAGAGCTGCCTTGAGCCTTTAAAACCTTTACAAGCTTTAATGTGTTTTTAAGCCTGTAAGTGTAGCAAGTTGGGTAAAAGGGTTTTTAAGGGCCTCAAAGAGTTTCCAAGAGCGTTTATAAGAGAAGATCCTTGAAAAGTTGAAGACCGCTTTTGCATAAAATAAAATTGAATCTCTACGGCATTGGCAGAAATCCCTCCATATGGCTTTAGTCACTTGGGCACAAAAGTAACTGAGTTCCATTTTTCTTTACACGTTCCTGTATATAAAATGTTGGTATGACTCATAAAAAGAAATAATAAAAAACGTAATGCCTATTTCGTGATCACGTGTCTCTGCTAAATTTGATTGCTACCTAGAGATTTTACCTTTACCACATAAGAAATTATTGGTACATTCTTCTGTGGAAATAAACAACTCCTTATCAATACTAAATGAAATCTCAGTCCAACCAAAGGAATGGTAACACTGAAGTTAAATGCAAAAAAACTCCCATTCACGGAAACAAAATAACCAAAATCCTCTGCTTGAATCTGATTCTTACGAATGAAGTATAATACGGAATCATTTTATACAAATAGTTCTCATAGGCCGATTTCTTCAGGAAAATCAAAGTTACTTTAAGCACAATCAATATGCCAATTTCTAAAAATAAGCGACCAAAAATTTATACAATGCAAAAAAAACGGATGAGATTCCTTTCAGGTTACTCTATCTCTCTCTTTCTCCCCTTAAAAATACGGACATTTTTTTTATTCGTTACATTTAATTACGTTCCTATGTGAGGAGCGCGTGTCTCCAATTCAAATATGTTCCCTTGCGTAAATTTTCGTTACTCGCAAACGAATGGCCTTGTCGCAAATGGAGGTTATGGGTAACTCTCACTTTGTCGCCAATTTATTCATTCACAAAGCGTTGTTAATGGGCCGTTCTTAAATACGCTATTGATAAAAATAAATAGCAGCGACGTCCTTTGTTGGAATCTTCGACTCAAAATAAAATCCGGCAACACTTTATTGCGTCTTGTTTAAATTTTCTCCAACAAAAATTTAACTCAAATGAGACAGTGCGCGCCAATTCAGCCCGTCTTGAACTTTAACCACTCAATTTTTCGCCTACACGCGGAATAACTACTCTTCCCGCACTCAAGTAGTACGTGACTAACCTCGCCTGCTGTCTAAAAATGTCGCATACACGGTTCCTCTCCTCGCTTACATCGAAAGATAAAAACTCCTTTACAAGCTACGCATGTTTTCGCCTTTAATTTTCAGATATACTTTCGTTTCTGTTCGCTATAAAGCGGTACATGTGTATGTCTGCCTATGGTTAGATACCAAAATATAAATTCGAAAAATTACTTTAAAAAAACGGCTTCAAGCGTGCCTATTTATTGATTTTCCGAAAACTTTCAATGGTCTCCGAGAGGCTTTCGAATATTAATTAATTAGAGTGTTTGAAACACTAGACCCTTAAGCGATTGCAATGATCCCATTAAAGATTTTAATAGTTTTTAAGAGCGGAGCTCTCTACTGGTCGCCTACAGTCTTGAATGGTCCCCCGAGATGCTTTGAAGTCTTTAGGGGGTCTTGAGTATTCAATAGTGTTGAAGAGTATGTGAAACTCTCTAAAATTTTTAAGATCTGAGCTCTTATAGGAGCATGTAGGAGGGACCCTTATTTCAAAGGGTAGCCCAACACTTTCTAGATCGTTTCAAACCCTTTAAAATCTGTTAAGAATCTTACTAGGTACTCTTTAAGGGATGTAAGAGCCTTTAACAGCTTTAGGGGACTTCAATAGCACCTATGATCCTTTTATGAACTTTAATAGATTTTGAGAGTGTTCAAAGATCTTGCACAATATTTATTCCGTCTCTTAGAGCATCTGCATTCCAAGAATTTAAAAATTCGTTGTGCCTATCAGTAAAAATGATTTTATTCCCATTAAGGGGTGGGTTCACGATCCGAGTACTTGATAGTTTGAAGTTTATTACGTAAGGGCATGTATTAAGTGTCAATCACAGTTTTTAAGAAGTAGGTTACAAGAGCAAGTGTGTGTGTGGGTGGGGGGGGGGGGCTTGGGAAAATTAGATTGTTTGTGCGCGTAGAAAAAATTGTCATAAGTTTTATTTTAGTATCCCTCTCTTGTTCTGGGCCCTCAACAGGCTTGCGCCCAATTATAGAGTGATCCGCATAATGCTTTTAGAGGTCCCCCCTACTACCCCCCTACTACTCCGGTATTCATTCACCTTACGAATGAGAAAAACTTCCGAAAAACCTAATTCGGAGTATCCGAGAGAATGCTCCGTACTGATCTAAGGAAATTCCCATCTCTGTCACAGATGAAAAATTCTTACCTCAGCCCCGGTTCGAACAGACGACCTCCGGCTATGTAGTCCAACGCTCTACCACATAGTTAATTAATGAAGGTGAGAAGTTGATGTTTTCCGTAATTAAAAATGCAATTTTAAATAAGTGAGCTATGAACTACATTTTCATAATTAAATCAATTACTTACCTTCCTATAAAATATAAAGCTATCCATACTGGGCTGGGCCATTAATGCCGGTATGTTACGCTGCATTAAAAACTGTGTTGCGTACGAACATTGACGGAACAATTAACAATTAGCCTATTTTCGCATGTCCGCATATCGCTATATATTCAATAAAGGTGGTAAGTCGTAAACTAATGCCCCCATAAATGCACGAGATTGCGTATATGATGAGCATTTAGTGGAAGCGATTGAAATTACTACGCTACGTGCTTTAGGTGTTTACCGTAAACAGGGCATTGCACAGAAACCTTTCCGCACCCCTGGGCGAAAGTGCATTGCAATTAGCCAACCCATCTGAAAACGTTTCATGGCAAGCAAACTGAGAACATCCGGAGTAATTGATAACCAACCATAATGGGGTGAAAATTTGTAATGCAGGTGCACCATTACTGATAGTCCAAAGAAGAAAGTGATTGAAGCTACTTACTTATGGCCGTTCCTGCTCGCCAAATGCAAAGATGTATGCGGAAAACTCATCCCCGGAATGGCCCTTTGCATCGGTTGTATTAAACTGGGATACGTTCTAACTAATAATTCTACAGCCTCTAACCTGCAAAGGAAGGGATGTCGTAATTGAAAACAGAACCAACGCAATCTATCAAAGTAATAAAACTGATCGATTACCTTCCGTACTGAGCAGCTAGATCAAGGGCAGTTTCGCCCCTATTATTTCGAATGCCAGGATCACATCCGTGTTCTAACAGTAAATGTACAACTGGAGTGTGGCCGTATTGAGCCGCAGAATGCAACGCCGTCTCGTTCGCTTTGGTCTGTAACAGAAGGAGAGAAAAATACATCTTAAAGTCTTATACAAATTCTAAAGTATCACATTTGAAGCGAGGACGCAACTTTATAATCAACTTGAATATTCCATTAAAATAAACGGGAATGGCAAGGCTCGCTAATTCTGAATCATAAACAGGAAAAAGGAGAGTTTGTAAAGTTTAGTTTTAAATTTTAAATAGGCAACTCGACTGTCAGTAGCAGCTTTAGAGAATCCGTCAAGCTGAAGCTGCAAGTGGCACATCGCATCCAAATTAGTATACAGTCCAGTAACTTCGGCGTGGAATTGAAAAGATCACGGCAAGTTTGCATTCTAAAAGAGTTTGAACAGAAGTGACAGACACGGATTGTAACTTCTCATCAAATAAAATAAAAAGTAAAAAAATGACTGAATTGGACATATTATTTTACCATCTCGAAATTTTGAAGTTACAATTCTTTGTTCTGAATCATTTCTCTTACTGCACAACGCGGAAAAAAATTGTCACCGTTAGATTCATCCGGAAATAGTATTATAATACAAGTGCGGAAAAGGGTTTATTGGGACCAACGAGTGACAGCGAAAGCTCCGATCGTATAAACTTTCAGTAAATCTTTCCACAAGTGTATTACATACTAGTTTCTTCTATAAAAATGCGAGAATTTTGAAGATTTAGAGACAAGTGTATCTAAATGTTAAAACGACAAGTTGTGTAAATCAAGGCGTAAGGCATTTTATGAAATCAAATCCTCACGATGCAGCTATGTTACCAAAATGATGGTTAGTACTCGTATTCACGTGTCCCCTTTTGGACAAAGGACTGTGTTCTCTAAAATAAGAATTTAAAGTTGAAAAAAAAATTTCTACGAAGAAAGTGAGAGTGACCATCGATTTGCGCTAGAGTAAATCTATAGGTCACAATTCGAAGAAATGTAAGTAACCCTGGGCTTATTTTCCTAGTTATTTTCTATCTCAGGAGGAAAACAAAACTGGATACAGTTTCATAAATATATAAATAAATAAAAGTACAACACGTTTCCTAAACAAGACTTTTTCAAAATTATAAAATGGAACCGTGTACCTACCATTTATACAACTTGTGGAAATGGACAAACAATTAGTAAAAAAGAGGAATATCTGTAACTTAAAGATTGGCAAGAGACATTTTGAGAGAAAAGTAGCTGAAGGGATGGAAAGTTGGGGAAGTAAGCGAATTTTGTCTTAAAATATCTACATACACTAAAATTTCAACCGAATAACAATTTTTAGTAATAAAAGAAGTCGAAAACAACGGTTGGGGGGGGGGGGTCCCTGAAAAGGATCCTTGGTTGAAGAGGCACTACGATAATCAAATTTCCAGTGGAATGTCACTCTCTAGTTTTCAAGATCCTTCTTTTTGAGTTTTAGATTATTTAAACACTATTAAGTCATTAAAGTCATTAAAGATGAGGAGATTTTAATGCTAGGACAGGGAATAAACGAGAAGAGGAACACAAATGGAAAATTAAAATCCCTAATAGTGTAAATGTAACAAAGAGGGAGAAATGTTGTACGAAAAGACAGAATTTTAAACGGAAATATGGAGTAAGATAGGGACGAGCAATTTACTTACATGGGAGGAAGAGGGAGGGGTCGGTAATTCATTACACAATAGTAAATGAAAACAGAACAATTGGGAGAGGAGTACTGAAAGCAGCATTTTATTAAGGCACTACAAGAAAATCAGCAGAAAGGGGAGGTGATAGAAAAGGTAGGAAGAGAGGAGGTGGTAGGAAACAAGATATCAAGCGAAGAGATTGAGCAGAAATTAAAGTATCAAGAAGAAGATGAGAAAACTTTTAAACAAGATATGCAAAGAAGGGGAACTGTCGGAAGAATAGAAGGAAGGGGTAACAGTTCCGATTTACAAAAGAGGTGACAAGGACTATGGAATGGGGATGATAGGAGCGTATAGAATCTATGTAATGGTATCTACTGATTGAAAGGTTAGAAAGAGAGATGGAAGGGAAGAAGAAGATACACAAATGGGATTCAGAAAATGGAGGGGAACAATCAACTGTATAACTACACAGATTGGTGGAAAAAGAATTGGAGAAATGGCGGAAAGGCAATAGCGTTTTTCATAGATTTGGGCAGCGTTTAATAGAGTGGAAAGGGAAAATGTATGGAAAATGATGGAAGATGGGAAAATAAACAATAAGCTAAGAGACAGAATCAAGAAATTATATAAAGAGACAAGAATGATGGAAGGATTCTGACTGTTCTGGACTGGGATAGGGATGTCTTTTTTTCAGCCCAAGCTTATTTAATTTCTATATAAGAGCTATGGAACAAATACGACGACAGGGTCAAAGGGGTGGGATCGTAGTGGGAAGAAGGAAGATATGGTCCCCGGCATACAGGGACGACACAGAGAGGTATTGGGAATGATGTTAAATATCAGAAAATCGAAGATGATGAGAATCAGAAAAGGGCGGGGGATGGAAATGAAGGGAGGAAAGAGTAGAGGGATTAAGAGAAGCTAAGTACTGAGTGTACCAAATGCTCAAATAAAAGAACTAAGAAAAAAGGGAGAAGTGGCGATGAGACAGGTGTGGGGAATAGAAAAACGGGGATTCACGATTTTAAAATAAGAAAATCCCTTTTTGATCCAATAGTGCGAGGGGTGCTTATTTAGGGAACGGAGATATGGAGGTTGAAGGAATAGGATAAACTTGAGGGAATACAAAGAAGACATTACAACGGAATGATACCAAATTACATCTCGTGAATACAAAATTGAGATGGAGGAGAAAAGGAGAGCGTCGGGAGCAAGGCCGGTAAGACTCGGAGAAAAGATTGAAAGAATGCTTGTCAATAAGGATGAACGCAAAAGGAAATTGAGAAGAACAAAGAAAATGGATACGGATGTCGTCGAAAGGAAACGGGAAAGAAGGACTAGGATGGAAGATGAACTCACAATATACAAATACCTACGGTTAAGCAGAGAGAAAATCGAGAGCTCAGAGGAAACAGTGGGTGCAAGGAGCTGATAAGAGAGTGGTTGTCGAAATACCTGCGACAAGGAAGAGGTTTAAATGCGGAAATGCAGAATTTCTGGAGAGAAAGAAGAAGATATCGAGCACATGCTATAAAAATGTACAGAAGTAGATAGAACCAGGAAAAAGAGGAGTGAAATACTGGAAGCGGATAGAATAGGAGAACACTGGAAGGCGATCATCTTTTAGAAAAGGCAAGTTTAGTTCTTGTAGTTTCATTTTTTGTAACAAGTTTTTTGCCAAATTGCTTATGAAAGATTGATACCAAATTAGTTCTCTTGAAGATTTCTCAATGGTTTCCACGGCATTTTAGTCGCCTTTGGAGACCATAATATGCCTATTAGAAGTTTTAAAAATGTTTGGGAGTATTTAATATAAAAAAATACCCACTTTAGGATCTCAAAGTATATTACTGTGGCCCACACATTGAGCGCCAAATAAATAATGCTGTGTGCAATGATATACGGTAAAAAAATACCACCCAACAGACGTCTACCTAGCTATCTCAAATTGCATCATTTAGTTTCTAAAATTTGTCTCAGGGCACGACTGGGTTCCGATACAACAAAAATCCCAATATCCACTTAAAACTCTTATAAAATCACTACCCAAATTTGAATTGGGATGGCACGGGAACACCATGAACGGTGAACCAAACACTTCGTTTTTTTTTTCAGGATATCTTCGAAAAGAGTCAGAATTTTTCAGTTTCAAAACGGCATTTTGTTAAGCATCAAAATACGCAATTTTGCCAAATTTAAACTACCTACCTATAATTTCTTACAGTTTCGGACATCTCCACGGTAGCCCTTGAATTTAAATTAGCCGGTATAACCAAATGCTTCTTTTCTGGTAGGCAAGAAAAATTTTGATTTAAAATTTGAAAGTGGGGATACCGTGAAGCGGGTAGGATGGAAGCAGTATACTTGTACATTCCCCCTTCACAATGCGAAAACTAAGTATTTGTTTGGCATCTCAAATACGTTGTGTGATCAAAACTCTCTAAACCTTCCCCATATAGTTTTTATTCGTTGAAGTTTTTAAAAATAAAAGCGACTATAGTTTCGGCGTACTGCCATCATCAGGCGACTAGAAGTTTATCACAATATAGCAAATTTGAAAACATTAAGAGCTAGTACTTACTGTAAAATTTAACAGGAAACGGTAAGTTACAAACGTTGAAACAAATAAGACGAACATGTTGTTTTTTAATTAATAACTGGCCGAAGCCAAATGAAACAACCTGAAGGGTGGTTAAACCGGAAAGGTTGTCCTAAGTTTCAAAACGAATTATTATCAAGCCTTGTTAAGACAACCAACCGGAGGGTTGAATTATTACATTAAAAGTTGAAAGTTGAATTTAACCTATAAATAGACAAAGTTTTAGATTTAAAAATTAAATTATCTAAATGGTACTTACACATTTCAAAAGAACCGGGGGGAAAAAATAAACTTATAAAAGTTTTGAAACTATTGAGATGACTACATATTTAAATTATTTAAGTTAAGTATAAATTCGAGATCATGCAGACGGCATGTCTAGAAATGATTGACAATCCGGTATAAGAGGAAACTGACATATCGATAAATTTATAAATTTTGAAAAGATATATAGGGTGAATTGAAATTATTGTAAAAACAGAAGATTGTTATTGAAACCGAGAATTTCGTTAAGAGAGAGGTGCGGGTTCTTTTTAACTTGGTGATGAATTTCTTTCAATTCCAGAAAGTTCAATCTTATACCTTTATTGCATATATGTAGAATTTCGAAATCGGTATTCAGATGGAAGGAGTGACCCGTTTCCAGGATGTGTGAAGCGAAAGAGGATTTTATTGAAGAGGAATTATTGTTTTTAATGCCCCCATTTCCCCCATTTCGAGGAACGATGGATCCAACCCAAAAAAAAAAAAATCTCAAATACGATAAAACAAATGACCGTTTGAAAAAGTAACGCCGTGTACAAGGAAA